ATATACCTTGGCCTTATATTATATATATATAATATATATATATATATATTATATATAATATATATATATATATATATATGAGAAGACGATGTACAATCATTGAAGGAACACAAAGTTATTAAAATATAACAAAATAAAATTTGTGTTCTGCAAGTCAAATACATTTTAAATTCATATACTTCGTTTAATTAGTGTTGAGAGCATTAAATGTGTAAAATTTTACTTAGTATCGTTGATTTCCTACTCTACTCCCTCTGGAGTGGAGTTGGATAGGTTAGTGGTTTTGATGCTTGCCTTCTAATTCCAGGGCTGGGTTCAATTCCTGCCATAGCAGAACTTTTTTCACACACCTAAAAAACAACGCCACTCCCTAAGTATTTTAAGGGAGATTTGGCTTACAAAAACATCGTCCATCCTATAATGGACTTTTCCGCTAAGCCGCGCCCCTTGGATATTGTTGCTAAGGCCCCACAAAACGACAGTGTAAAAAAACATACGTGAACACGTGCGTTTGTAGGACAACACGTGTGTTTGTTGGACGCGCGCGTATTCCTGGCCATTTGCTAATTGGTCAGCTGTTAAGTTTGATTGACACTCCGGAAGGAAAAAAACAAACAGAAACTTTCCCTGTCTCATGCTGTAAACATGAACAAAGCTTGATAAGTAGCCTGAAATATAATAAACATGTTTTAACCTTAGTAAACTTTGTTAAAGACATGCATAAAAAGAATATATAGAATCTGTTGAAGAATACTTCTTAAGCCGGTTTCCCACTAGGCGAATTTATTCGCGCGAATCGAAGGCGTCGGTTCAGTTCCTGAGCTCTGATTGGTTGCGCACATTTTTCGCTTCGCGCAAAAAGTAGAAACAGTTCGAACTACCTATTTCGCTGAAGCGAATAACTCCTATAAAAATGTGATTGCGAATGCACATGAACGACGCTTTCGAATAAATTCGCCTAGTGGAAACAGGCTTTACTGTCAAAATTATTAAGGAGTTTAGTATATCTCTATTTTTTTTTTACCTTTAATATTATGTGATCATATCAATACGCAAATTAGTTTATAGTATAATGATGGGTAGGCCTGTATTCTTCTTAAGAGAGCTTATAAAAATAAACTCCCAGGTAAGTTGAAGCAGACTTTAATAAAAGTTCTTGATATTTAAGTTTTACTCTTTGAGACGATGTCCTCCAGATGCTGTCCATGTAGCCGATCATTTGTATCAATAAAACGTGTCTCGTCCAAAGTCTGAAATTAGTTGGTGTAATATATAAGTCTCTTTGTAACACAAAACTTATAATCAGACAAAATGTATCGAAAAAATATGTTGAAATGTCATGTATGCAGTTTATGCTATGAAGAGGGCGCTGCTGCTCTGTTTTGAATAATGTTTCGTCATTCCAGAAGTAGGTCTTTAAGAAAAGTTTACTTACGTCTCATTCTTCTTGGTACGTGCAACTACAACCACGGTGACCTAGAAATCCTATAAAGACCAATATGAAATATAATGACAAGTATTAAGATCTGTCTCTTATACACATCTAGATGTGTATAAGAGAGCATTATATGGCTGTTTGCTGTTTTATGGGTTTTTCCCATTTGCCATTCAAACTTCTTGTATTCTTGTATTTATAGATTCAATGTCAACGTACCGGTATAATTAGAAAAATTAAAATTATTCTATACAATTTGTTTGATATTTATTTAGAATATCATTAATATTAATATAATACTGTGACCTATCGAATGAACTGGCATGGTATAAAGACCGTTGTTGCGATAAATATTTACAGGCATTTTAAATTAAAATCTTTAATCCACATTCAATAAGTTGCAAAAAACGAAAACGACAATCACCATTCTCTCCTATTTCTGTAGCCTGATAGGTCGTGTCTAGCATTCCGTGCATTTTAAGTTATAATCAAATGTGCAAAATATTATTTTCTAGTTAAAATTCTTGAGTGTTCCAACTTATCGGTGATTGGTAGATAGCTGGTATGCATAGAGGGCGCCATCTAATGAACCATCGAATGCATACAATGACGAGATTGCCAGATAAACACAAAAGGTTGTGAGTGAGTCATCAGGCATGCTTTGTTTTATCACATAGGCACTGTGCACTTTGTAATGAAATGATCGAATCTGGAAGTTTTCCATTATTGTGCGAACGTTACCCCAGGAATGTACATCAGGGAATGTGCGCATGAAGTATGCACGCTATAACTGGGTAAGTGTCTAGATCGCAAACTTACCTCAAACCCCACATTAAGAAATTTGCCCGGAAAGACTGATACCGGTCGATCGGAGGAGCCCTTGATCTTTTTAAAGGTGTAAGGATGTAGGCCTACTTAGCTAAGCAATTGAGTATTTGAATCAGTCGAGTGTTGAAATTGGGTTAACATGTGCATCTCCAGTGAGGTCCATGATTTTTCAGTACTATTATTTAAGATGTGTAATTCACGCGATTGAATTTCCGTGATTAAATTCCATAATACAACTTTCAAAATCTGAGTGTCTGGTTTTAGTCAGACACTTCGCGAATGTTAAGACGTGTGTTCTGTCTGGGCTAAAAACGATGTTGACTTCGGATGGGTCTTCGCGTAGTGGACAATGAACTGGTTTTTCGGACTATTCATTTATAGTTTAACAACAAATTTTACTAGTTATACATCCATAAAATGTAACTTGGAAAGTATTTTTATCCTATGAAATTTATGGCCAATTTATTCGTCATTTTATTAAATTAAAACTGATTTGAGTACCTTAATTAAAAAATGAAAACTCACCCATTATATAATTTGCATTTGAAAATGTCTTATTCTTTTTATGAACAAATTGAAATCAACAATAAATTTTATTTATTGTAATTTAAAGGAAGAAAATTACTTTGTTTTAAAACTACTGTACATTTTTAGTTCTAAAGTAGAAATATTCTACCTGTTATGACAAAAATTTAAATATTATTTTTAGATGTTGCTCTGTATGCAAATATTAATGGGAAACACAAGCCGCTTTGAAGTTTTAAGCCTGATTATTGATCTTTCAATGTTGCAAATAGATCTTTGGTGCTGCCACAATTCAAGCGTGGCATAGCATAGTACACTACCTACTTTCATTGTCAGATTTAGCTTGGTAATGATAAAAATCAACAAGTAAACACAATAATAGCCTGTCCCTGGGGACATAGTTGATTTTTTAATTTACACCAGGTGTGAAAATGGGTTAAAAGAGAACCCTAAAATTTTCTGATTTGGCCTGTGGGTATTCTAATTTTTTAAGTCATTTACGGAACAGCCTGGTTTACAGGCCGTGTCCTGTTGTCCTCGTTCTGTCAGATTCAGTAAGTTTTTATAGCATATGCAGTAAAATAATCACACCAGCCTTAGGGTAACCTACTTCCACCCATCAAACTTTCTTGTTTTACACCACTGGTATAACCTAAAATAAGTCGCAGACAATTTGATTATTTTTTTCCATATTAATATCTTCTTTCCTGGTCGTCTTGAAGCAAGAAAAGTTTGATGGTTTATTGGCTGAAGTGTTGCAATGTTAGTTTCTGTTGAGGCCACACAAGCGTATGCAACAAAACATAGCACAAAGGTAAAATTGTAAGTGAACCTTATACTTTAGGTATGTTGTGTTAGGTTAGCCACTCGGGATCATATTACCTTGTATTAAATACATTTTATACCACCATGGTATTACAATGCTAATATATATAAAATCTACACCATTTAGTATAGCCAAGGTAAATGACCCAAACTTGCTTGCTTTATCTAGCATCTACTTAATCATTTGATAGTAACATTATTAGCTGCAACATTTATTGAGGCCCTCCCCAGGGAGCTGAACATGTTCCGTAGGTGTTTGATCCGATGGCCGGGTTAATAATGTGAATGGCATCTAGAGACCTTGGCATTCACGCTATTATACAAGACCGGTCTATTATCATATGATACTGTACTTTTAACATACTATTTGGGCAACATCAAAGGACACAATTTAAATCAATGGGTTTAGACTCTACCAGACATATAGTCTAAATATTGTTCGTAATTTGAGAAATCTTGTTAAAGTGCGTTGTGTCACAAGAGGTTAAGCGTTTATGATGATGATGATTTTCCCCATTAAATCATTTGTGTTTTATGACTTAATTAGGTATTTACCTTCCTTCCAACTGCAGGTACTTGGGTTCAACCCTCTTTGCAGACCAATGTTTTCACATTTAAAAACCCCACCCTCCGAATGATGTTTTTAGAGTGCTTTTTATTCATTCACTAAATAATCTAAATGCTGTACTGAGTAGTAATAAGCAATAATAATCATTGTTCATCTTTAATTAATCAATTATTAATTTAGTAATGAAGAATTAAAAATAAGCTTAATTAAGTATATTGAACACCATACTTTACTTAGCTAATTGTTATTCTTTATTATTAATGTTATTCTTATTATTGCTAATTATTATTATTATGATCTTGTTATTATTTAATAATTGCTATAAATTGTATTATTGTAGTAAGGGACTAAATCTATTTTAAAATATGTTACTGTTAAGTAATAATTATAATGTAAACATGAAAGGAAGCCTCATTCCTGGCAAAATTTCACTAAAAGAGAATTTTTTAGAAAAAATGTACATGCATTACTGTAATTATTATAAACCATGGAAAAATATTTGCATAAGTTTTAGTTTTACTCAAAAGAATAATAAAAATGAGAAATACAGACTATTTCTCATAGGAGATTACCATTTCTTGACGAATTCTTCGTGACTGGGCAAATTCAGAGGTTGTAGATTAGTTTTTGTACTTTGTATCTCGCACCACTGCGATCGATCGAGTAGGCCTGAGATATGTTTGTTTAATTGTCAAAATCTCGGTCAGAATTATTTTTTTAACAAATTCGAAATAATTCATATGAAAATTATATTTCACAAGTGTGTTTAGGAATCTCTAAAATCAGATTTTTCTTCACAACTGATATCACTTTCTTATATGTATATATTCATATTTTAATACAGTATTATAGTTATGTTTCATACTAATTGTTTTTAATACAGTATTACTGTAATTTAACACAAACTACGATTTACAATGATCACTTCTCAAAATTGTAAAATACTGTAGATTTTTGTAATACCAATATATAAAGAATAATGATATTTCTGATGGATAAATCAAGGGTATTTTGTTTGAAGTTCTAATATTGATGATGGTAGTATTGTCAACCAGCTTTTGTATCCTTCACAGTACCTGGCAGGCTATATATTTTAATGGTCCTTGCCCAATTATCCTTCCAGTCAGCCTCAGAGATGCTACTGATTGTGATTTAGCAGTAGACCTACTTAGTATATCTTCTTAAGCCTGGAATGGGCCCCTAGTAGGCCTACTCCAGCCTTGCTGGCAGACCAGCCTTTAGTAGAATATCGAAGGGTATCAAAAGTATGCTACAGTACTGATTCTTGAATAGCATCATAAAAATACCCAAGGCTCTATTTATTTAATTAATTGCATTGATTCAACATTCATTTTCTTGCAAACCTTGGAATACCATTGTTATTGTACCTTGCCAAGTTTTGAATGAACAAGATTGAGGCCCTAAAGTGATTTTAGGGATTTTAATTATTTTTGCAGGTAGTGGGTATGGTTGAGTGACAACGAAATGTCAACTGGAACAACTGTCATCTCTACTCTTACCGTTTTTTTTGTTGTAATAGTATAAAATGTAGAGGACCTGTAGCTTTGTGGTGCTGGGTTCGAATCAAACGTAACTCACTCCATTAACTTACTAAAACATCATGATTTGAAAGTTACTTGCAACATGTTTGTGGCAAGCCTCTTGCTGATTGTTGAAAATTAAACTTATAATTTTAAAAATAAAACATCTACTGTAATTGAAAGAAATATGCTGATATTTAAAAAGTATATTGCCTTTCTACAAGCCTACTTTGATAATTGATACACTTTTGGTAATTAAATTCATGTATTCAAAATCAAAGAACAATATTGTCTACATGCTTAAAACATCTGTGCCTTGAAATTTATTTCATTTTGCAATAAAGTTTTTCTTAGCAAATTCTAATAAGTTTAAAACGAAGCATAATTTACTAGTGAATAACTGGTAATTTTGCCCTGTGTACCAAATGCTGGTACCAATTAAGAATGGAGAAAGAACCAATAATGATTGCAATAAACCATAAGAAGAGGGGGGGGGGGAAATACCTATGGTGGAGAAATCCTATAAAGACCAATATGAAATATAATGACAAGTATTAAGATTTATTACCTAAATTTTGCTGACACATCACCAATAAACTTTTATTCTTCGAATCTGAGCTTTGTTTTTATTTGCATATTTTCTTGATCTAGGATTATTCACCCAAGGTTGTAAACTGAGATTTATTAATCAATATATTTCCTGTCTGTAAATAAAACCTCGGGGGGGGGGGGGGAAATACCTATGGTGGAGAAATCCTATAAAGACCAATATGAAATATAATGACAAGTATTAAGATTTATTACTTAAATTTTGCTGACACATCACCAATAAACTTTTATTCTTCGAATCTGAGCTTTGTTTTTATTTGCATATTTTCTTGATCTAGGATTATTCACCCAAGGTTGTAAACTGAGATTTATTAATCAATATATTTCCTGTCTGTAAATAAAACCTCATGATTGTATATTGAAGTTCATTGGTTTCTTACTTACCGACATCGAAAGCATTCATGCTCCTCCACGTCAGGCCTACTTTGCATCAAAATAGTTGGTTAAAATTAATTAAAAATATGCAGCATTATTATAGAATATAAAATTCATATTAAGTATATATGTTATATATTTGTATATATTAACAAGTAAATAAATAATAACTCATGGTTATTATCTACTTATATTGTTTTTGGTACTACTCAGGAACCCTAATTTGAATGATATAATCTTCAACAATAACTATATATCTCATTGTATGTTTAACAACTCTTTATATTTGCTTATTTGTTTAAACTGATTGTTTAAGACTTTTCATTTGCTTTGCCTTTTGTTTATTTTACAGTAAGTATGTTAAAGTTTAATAAGGGTGTATAATTTACTATTTTTGTTGCAGCTATGTCTAAATGAAGCCTAGGCTAAAGCAAGATAAAGCTTGATTTTTGTACCTAGGCCTTTGTAGAAAACATTTACCAGCAAATATGTCAGTGAAACATTCTTATAAACAAGATTCATT